ATATGTATATATTTTTAAAATTTAAAAAAATGTACATGGTCATTTGGTTTGCCATACCGCCCTCAATAACAAATATGGCCATGCGCTAAGGTCAAATAACATCGGTTGGCTGGCTGCGTTCACAAAAAAAAGGGGGCTGGGTAGAAGGTTTGGTGTCATTTGGTGTGTGGTCGGTGTAAGCTCTTGGACTACGGTGAAAGGTTACGTAACTTCACTTGATATCTTAGTATGGACTCTGTATTGTTGCCACACCTCCAGGCCTGCACACAGGATTCGGGATCAGTTTCCTCTTTATTGTGGGTCTTTTTTAACCTCTTGCTTCCGAACCCTTAAAATTTTTTAAAAAAGGTGATCTGGTCGGAAGAATTATTAACAAAACTTTTTCCCGCCCCCACACTTTTTCTTAACGTGCTTGGGTTTTAAATTAAAAAAAAAAAACAAAAAAAAACAGTATCTATGCTTCACGCTAAATCGAATTTAATGCACTTTTCTTTTTTCTATTTAAACAGCAAAATAAATCTTTGTTTTCTCATCAAACCTAACTATGCAAATATGTAAAACGTAGATTTTTTTTTTTAGTCTGGCGTTTACTACTAACTACTAATATCCTCAGACTATTGTTAAACGCAAAAAAAATCTGTTCAATCAATGTCTTAGAATGGCAAAAATCTTTACTTTATACAAGCCTAAATGAATTTTGTTGATAGCTTTAGGGAATTAAACATTTTGTGTATTCGTTTTAAAACGGAATTAGGCTAAAAAAAAGGTTTTTTGTTGTTTTTTTAATCAGTACTATACTTAGTTATATAAACCAGTTAAGCATTAGCGACTTCCTCTTTACAAATCTAGAACATATATATATTTTTTTTTTTTTTAAATGTCGACGTTTGAAAGAAACATTCAAAGAATTTTATTTTTTTATTTTATTTCTTTTTATTTAATTTTATTTTTTTATTTTTTATTTTTTGCTTGTTTGTCTTTGGGAGGAGATTTGCTGACCTCACAATTTGCCCCCTCTAGACCAACACATTTCCGTATAGTCTACATTAATTGAATAATCTAAATGAACCTAATGCTAGTTGATCAATGAAAATATTTCTAAAATTAGTTGGACCCTTATTATTCTAGTCATGCTTTTTCGCTATTTTAACGCAATGGTAATTTACTCACAGTTGGCTTATAACTTGTGATCAACGTGAAATTATTCCATACATTTGGACTAATACTTATTTTATTACGTTTCCACCGCTGTCCTCCGGCCTTCTTCAGATGTTTATTATCCTAGATATGGAATCGGAACAATATATTCTCGTAGATTAAAGACTTTAGTTGGAAATTCCCTTTGTGGTTGCTTGGATCGGTAGACACCTGAAGGAGGCCAGAACTGACAATGGTCGAAACTTCGTGATAGCAACATATGGGGACATTAATCCGAATGTAATTAATAATTCCTCAAGTATTCAAACAGAAATGAGCGTAAAAGCAGTTATGGGTATAACCGTCATTCTACTTGGCTACAAAAATTTGTTCATCAAATTTCATGTTAACAAGCCGATTGAATATCAGTAAGAATGAAATATCTGAACTGACCATTTTCGGAATGGCCTCATCTTAATGCTGAACTAGGAAAATTAAAATGCAGGTTCGGTCCCTGTCGGAGAGCACGTTTTATTAGAATTTCTCAAATGGGTAGGCCGATAGACGTAATACACGCGCGCAATAAAAATGGCGCGTCTATTTCAAACAGAAGTATCCTGTAATAATAGCGTTTGAAGTAACTTTCTCTGATTAAAGATAAATTCATTAATTCCTTAGAAAATACCTTGTCTTCTAACAAAGAAAATGTTAAAGTTTATCAAATATCCGGTTCTAGGTGGCCGATCGAGTATTGATTACCTTTTCTTTTTATACTAATGTTCACCCTATAACAAGGACAGTCAATGTAGAGGATCAATGAGGGAGGTGGTTGTCTGAGCGGCAAGAGGCGTCGGTTTATGAGGATACGTGCAAAAGATAACTGTTAATCCGAGATTTAAAGAGGTTAAGATTATACTAATCTGGAAATAATCCCCTTGGGGATCGATCCTATAGAGTCGTTCGTGGGAAGAAGCTGTTCAAGTGGAACTTGATTCTTACTAATGGAATACGAAGAGTGACTCTACGCTGTGTGGCGAGTCTTTGCATTTTCAATAGAAAATAGCAACGTTTCGTCTGGAGGAGGGGATAATTACCCACAAGGTTACGTAGGCACTCTTGGATTCTATAAAGACACTAAAGTGAAAACTGGGCAACTTCATCCCATATATGGCAGCAGTATTCTATGTTTCGGCTTCTCTTTGTATAGTTTATTATCAGTATTTGTGTTTAGTTTGGCACCATAATACTGTTTTATTAAATATAAATAAAAAGGTCTTTGCAAAACATGTGGGAGGAGGGAGAGAAACGAAACGAAAAGAAAAAATATTTCAACCTACCCACAAAAATTGTATCCGAGTTTGTTTTTTATCATAAGTAATCCATTTTCAGTGGCGATTCTGGAACTCTGAAAGTGGTGGGGGGCACTTGGATAAGAGATTTTTCTGCGGAGGGGGGCCAAATTCATCAGTGTCTTTATTTTCATACTACACCACTCTCGTATACACAACTTAGGAATGAGTTTTAGTATAAGTATGTTACTTTACTAAATTAAACGGAATAACTTTTCATTCATATCAATGGAGTTATAATCTATTCTTGCCCTCTTTTCCACTCTCAAACTGTTGAACCACAAGAGAGGTTAACTTCAAAACAAAATCAAAGGGTTAATACTAACGTCAATACTAGCAGAACGGTGTAATTTGCCTGCTCTGATCTTTTTTTTTTTTTTTTTTCTTTACAAAACTTAGAAAAGTGGGGGGAGGGATGGCAACCGAAGGGCTAGCCAAAATTTGGGGGGCATTGGCCCCTTCTGCACCCCCTCCCGCCGTAGAATCGCCACTGTCCATTCTATACCATGAGACCCGGGTTTAAATTTCACCATGGTCGATTTTTCAGGGTGGTAACTTCTTAATACTATCGACCCGTGGAGGCGCTCCCAGCGTGAAAACTGATTGAAAATTGCCTGAAAATCATACCACGGGTTAATCCAAGCCGTATCAGTGAAACTGGGTAGATTAAATAGTTATATTAGCACGAAGTCACAAGTCATAGTGACCAAGGATTTGAGCATACTAGCCTTGTTCATACTGTTGATCACACCAGATGATGCGCTCTCTCCCAGAAACTGTAACAAGGGTACGTTCAGTATAGTTGCAGTACCAACTACAGGTGGGCTTTGTGAGTGTTGAACAAATACAAATATGCCCGAGCATACGTCTGCAACAGGGATTGGTTAGCCACCTTAACAGAAAGGCATACTAAACTTCTAGTTTGTAAGTAGTGCCAATTATTTCTTTGTATATCAGGATACCATACACTGAATGGAGGGGAGTGATAGAGTAACTGTTAAAGGTGAGCAGAGTTCGAATTTCGGCCTCTCCTGTGGTGTTCATTTCGCGTTAATACTCTTTGGAAAGTTATGAATCAATATCCCCCTCTTATAGGTTAAATAGTCGGGTAGACTTGGCACTCATGCTTTGAATTGTAACTAGCCTAAGAGAACAACCTTGAATTCAAACTATTGGAGAAGACAACGGAAATGATATAATTGAGACAGTGGAAAAGCTTGTAACGACGAATTTCGCCGACAAATATTGATCTCGGCTTCTTCAAAATGAAAGATAAAACTGTAATAAGTTGCCAGTCGGAATAAGAGAACAGAATTCACTAAAAAGAAAATGCGTTGGATGGGCAAATCTGACAGTTTTAACAATAAATTCAGGACCATATATAATATCGCAAAAGCGCTATATATATAAACAATGCTGTATACGAACTAGTAGATAAAAAAAAAAAAAAAAATAAAACTTTTAGAATCAACACCAACGGCTCTCTATTATATATTTTCTAGTCATCGAATCTGATGATGTAATTTATTACCCCTCTTATCCTCAAAATCCCAAGGCATTTTCCTTGCACATAGTTTTGTATTTCATTCTAACCTAAAGCTGCCGAGACCAACAGAAGTTGGCAAAACGCGACGTTTATAGTAATTTCCACTTTGTCATCTCACTTTTGTTTCGAATAAGATTATACATCTCACACACACACACACACACACACACACACACACACACACACACGCACAATTGTAGCAAACCATGATTGCCTACGTATTGAATGGACATTAAAAATACTTAGTGTAGGATATACGCCATATTTTCGGCCTTGAGCCACATCTAAGCTATGCTTCGAAAATCAATATAATAGTAATTACTTTGCGTTGTGATGTAATGGATAATGGCTCGGAATGAGAAATCTGAGAGCCGAGTTCGAATTCCAGTCAGATTCGTTACGTTCACTTACGCGCAAATCCCCTTGGGAAAAGTATGAATCCACCTCTTCTCTCCCCCCAAGCTATGGGTCAAATAGCAGGACATAGTCCTATAGCCCTGGGTTGCAACCAGTCTAGCGCAAAAAGAAACTGCAGTCTACTGCGAGAAAATCTGTCTAGTCAGTCATGAATCGAAAGAGACATGATCGCCCAAGCGTGTATCAAGTATGACACTTTACTGACTGAAGTACTTTGCAAAACATGGCGTCGTTTTTTAACAACACTGATAAATTAGTACTATTTTTTTTCTTCAGCTTAGATGAAATTAAAAGGCATTTTTGTGAGACAAGCAAATCTCATCGACGCAGAAAAATAAAACTAGTATATTTGATTTTCTCATCTATTTTACTGTGTACTTTTTATTATGTACTTTAGTTTTGCGTGCGTGTGTACTGATCACGAATCTGTAAGGCCTGGATGTGTGCAAATAGCTGCAGCAAGTAGAGGTGAAAGTGGGTTTATTTAACACAATCTTTTTAATCTCTTTGTTGTGAAAGCAGAACTTAATCTATCTATCTTTGTCTTGTAGTTGGAGTTTTTCAGTCGGGAACCGAATGGCTGTCAAGTTCTTGATGGGGAAGACGGAATACTTTTTGTCTACTATCCGGACGGCCGTTCCACTGGTGATGCATTTGTGCTGTTTGCATCTGAAGACGAGGCTAATAAGGCTCTGAAGAAACACCGAGAAATCATGGGAACTCGTTACATAGAACTATTCAAGAGCACAATGGCAGAAGTACAACAGGTCAGTTTCTCTTATTTTATTCCGAAAGTTACATGTCAGACAATGATGCTTAACCCTGTGTTAGTCACACGGAGTGTTTTGTTACCTCACCTAAATTTTTACCGCGTCTACTTAATAGTTTAAATACTGTGATCTAACCTTATTGAACGTTAGCAGTAATGTCTCTCGGACGTGAAGTTTTTCCGTCCGGTGTTTACATCATCTCGGCAGATGGTTAAGCCGACTCCTCCTTCCGAAGGATCATTTCAAGAGCAGAATTGATCTGTGCAATTTGAGGCTCTGGTTCTGATCTAGGTGTATTTATTTATTTTTCTCTTTGCTTACAATTCATTTTCAAGTTACTCTAGCAAGCCTCTTATTTTCTTTTTTTCTTTCAGCCATCATTTTATCAAAAATCGGGTGATATTTGTCAAAATATCACCCGATTTTTGACAAATTGCGTTAAATAAGTGATTATGCAAAATAGATGCGAATGGATGGGAAGCGAGAAGGACTATCAATTGTAAGAAGACAGAATTAATGGTTGTCAGCAAAAGGGAACAGACTAAGCTGCAAAGTAAGAATTGGAAAGACCAAAGTCAAGTACAAAAATTTAAATATTTAAGTTTTAAAAGGCAGCGGAAATTGCGGCATCAAAACCGAAGACGCATTGGGATTCGCTCTTTCGATGAGTTTTTCAGATTTCTGCCATTTTTTTTTTTTTTTTTTTTTTTTTTTTTTTTTTCCAAGTTTGGAATGTTTATATACTGTAATTTCTCGAAAATAACACGTACCCCAACAAATTATCCAAAAATTAAGAATATATCTATCCGTATGTATAATACGCATCTATAAATTTTGTCAAAAATAAATATAATTACGAAGGCATTTTGTCGGCTTTGACATTAAAAATAAAATCGAAACTAAGCGGCTAAAATAATGTTGAAAATTACCATCGCGGTTTTCCCGATAAATATAATATTTTATTTTACCGCCAAAAGGTTGTCAAAACGTGCGAGTTATAGTGCAAATTTTAAACAGTAATAGAATTAGCAGAAAGAATAGAAAACAGAACTGCAGCTCGAGAATATGAGTTGAATGAGGCTAACATACGTTGATGGAGAAAGAATAAAAATGAAATGAAAAAAAAGTGTAAATCAAGTGCCAAAACTATAGGCAGAGGAAGAAAAGCTCAATATCCAGATATGGAAGAAAGTTTAGTTGAATTTGTGAAAGAAAGACGATCAAGTGGATGTTCCGAAAGTACTGTGGAAATAAGGATGAAGGCAAAAGAACTTGTACAAGATAGTATTGTGAATGATAATTTGTTTAATGTCAATTTAGATATTGATTCTATAATAGAAAGTGGTGATTATTATTATGAAAATTAAAATTGCAATAAATTAACTTTTTTTTTTTTTTTTTTTTTTTTTTCGAAATTAGCCTTTTTATAGATTTATTTTTATTTTTTCACCGAATAAAAATTTCGGTTACTGATACACATAAATTGACAAAAAAAATGTTATTGTTGGATTTAAAATGAAAATTGGGATATCTTATTTTAGAACAAGTACGTATAAATCAATAATGGAAAAAATATTTTTGTTTAAACCTATTTTTAACACGCACTCCTATCACCTGTAATTTACAGTAAAAGATGCGTATTATCGAGAAATTACGTTTGTGTGTGTGTGTGTGTAGTATATCAACACCTAGCGGCGACAGTCTTTGAAGATTGCGTCCAAGCATGAAACCGACTGTCGCCGCTAGTTAACTTCAGTATCCGCTTCTATATTTACATAGTTTCCCTCTAATACCAAGCAATTTACCCATAAATATAGTATACCTTAAAACTATATTTTTATCACACACACACACACACACACACACACACACACACACGCATTTATATTTAGAACTGGATTATATTTGTTCAGGGAGGAAATATATTTTCTTTATTTTGTAGGTCTTGAATCGCAGCATGGACCCTCGAAATCCTGAGCAGCAGGAGACTGCCCTTCCACCATTGATTGCCCAATTACCACCTCACCATACTTCCGTTCCTATCCTGCCCCAGAATATCATTACCAGCGGTTGTAAACGCGACTGTATTCGTTTACGCAATCTACCTATCGGTGCCCAAGTAACAGACATACTCGCTTTTCTTGCTGAATACTCTCAATATATTGTCTACCAAGGCGTCCACATGGTGTACGGCTCAAACGTAAGTCTTGATTCTCTGTTACAAGGACTCTGGACATAAAGGAAGTCTTCAAAATCTCTGAAATTATATTTACCGAAATTTAACTTGTTTAACTGTGCCATCATATGAGTCAATAGTGATCAGTATATCTCTTAGGCCAATCTTTTGACTGAGGTAAATGTATACTTTTTATCTGTTCTAGATTTTGTTGTTTGAGCTCCCATAAAAGCTAAGTCTTAAAATGCTGAGGTTTGCAAAAGTCCTCTTCACAGGGAAGATTGATACAACGCAATTTTTTTCGCATCCAACGCAATATGTGAAAAAAAAATGTTTGTTTAATGTAGGGGCTCTCAGGCGTACACGTGTGTGTGTGTGTGTGCGCGCGCGCATCTCCCCCAATAGCCTACTTAGTATAATGGTAGTGAAGCAGGAACTTGTCCCCCCCTGGAACTAGACATTTGAATAGGGAAATCCTACACAGGGTATTTTTTTTCTAGCATTTCACGTGTGTCTGTCTCTTTACTTTGTGGAATACTTGAAATACTTTTCATGTCTCCAGGAATCCCTACATTAAAAAAAAAATTACAGTTAAGATTTATCTTATATTTTATTATAATAACCAAGGATTTTCCAACAATATACTGTATGTATATAGTAAAATTACGAATATAAAATTGAACAAAAATTACTCAAAAATAAATTAGCCTATTTATCGCAACTTCTTGCTGAACTTTAGGATTCTGGGAAATACCGATTGATAAACACTAATTTTAGACGATCGAAAATACTTTTAACAAGAATATTAGAAAAATACAATTAAAAAAAATTATTCACAAACCATGTTAGAATTTAACAGAAATTATTTAAATGAATTCTTGTTCCCTTTATTTAACAGTAAATAGGTTCGCCTATCGTCCAATTCGCACTGCTCCCCAGTCCTTTTGAACAGGATTAGTTTTGGTATCTGTCTATATTTCTGAGATGAGGTGTTATGTACACTATTTACATTATTAGGACTATTGCCCTCATCTTTGTTGCCATATTTATCACAACGCTCCGGCCTTCTTCAGGTGGTTGAAATGTTGAACTGAACCCTTTATTTTCGCTCGCTGGAGTAAACTGTTCTAGTTCTACGTACCATGTCTAATGGATGTCGATTATCTCCTGTTAATTCCCCTCTCCAAGTTCTCCACTGCTTTAGCCAGATAGAACCCAAAGAGTGTGAGTTCAATATCTGGCTAAGGCAGTGGAAAACTTGAAGAGGGGAATTAACAGGAGATAACCGATAACTGATATCCATTAGATATATCACGTGGAACTAGAAAAGTCTACCCAAGTGAGCGAAATAAAGGGTTCAGCTTGACAGTCCAACTATCTGAAGAAGGCCGGAGCGTACAGCGGCCGAAACATTGTGATAAATATGGCAAAGATGAGTGCAATAATCCGAATAATGTAAATAGTATAGGATTAGTTTTATTTCCCGGTTTCCTGTTTAAGATTAGGTTTCTGGTTGCTTCTAAAATCTTTTCATTCTCTTTCACGCTCAGTACCCACTTGCGTCTTAGGGGCATTGTCGCCTTGCTTGGAATGAATTAATTTAAAATAAATTATGTATTGAGACAGTAAATGTTAATTTAAGTTGTATCCATTTAAAATATTTTAAATTTCTTGTTGGCTGGCGGATTAGTTTCCGTATGTTGTTGAAGTTTTAAAGAGATTATCCACCATTTTGGGTAGTTCTTAAGGCTCTGAGGTTTCGATTGGCTTTAGTTATTATCAAGAAAGTAATTAGATGACATTCAAATTCTGTGGTTTTGTGTTTACTATTTACATTATTCGGACTATTGTCCTCTACTTTGTCGCCATATTTATTACATTTCGGCCGTTGTACGCACCGGCCTTCTTCAGATGATTGGAATGTCGAACTGAACCCTTTATTTCACTCCCTGGGGTAGACTGTTCTAGTTCCACGTACCATGTTTAATGGACGTCAGTTATCTCCTGTTAATTCCCCTCTCGAAGTTCTCCACTGCCTTAACCGGGTGTTACTCTTTGGGTCCTGTCACTGGATCTAACTAACGTCTTTATCCACTGTGCCATGCCTCCTTGAGGACATTCTAACCACCTGAAGAAGGCCGGAGCGTACAACGGCCGAATATAAATAAATATGGCGACGAAGATGAGGACAATAGCCCGAATGTAATTAGTGTACATAATACCTCATCTTAGAAATATAGACATGTTTTGTGTTTGCATACTAGAGAATATGATTTTGAATTGTTTTGAATATATATGGCACAAGGCCAGAAATATCGAGCATCCAGTGAATATCGAACACGCTACTAAGTCATAATTGACTGGTTGATTCGTTGGTCGTGTTTTTTTTTGTTTTTTTTTTTTACTTACGACATATCAACCTCTATGGGTTATTTAATGCCGAAATCTTTTTGTACGCTTTTTAAGATAAAAACGGTTTTAGTGATACAAGTCTTATTAATTTATCCATAGCAGAGTGGAGAAGAGGTGAATTCATACCTTTCCCAAGATTAATTGCGCACAAACGAATATAACTCGCCCAACTCGAATTTGAACTCGGCTCCGCGAATAACAATTCCAAGCTATTATCTATTATACCACTCGTACATCCAAGCTTACATCACCTGGTATTCTCAGACGATTACCCGTCTAGGTACTGACTAGGCTCGACGTTGCTTAACTTCGATGATCGTACGAGAACAGGTGTTTCAACGTGTTGTGACTGTAAACCAGTCATAATTGATCTAACAAATTTTATCGTCGTATTCACGACGTTTCGGCCGTTGTACGATCCGGCCTACTTCAGTTGATATACGTTGTAATTTTGAACCGACCACTTTTAGTCCAAGGTGTGGGGGGGGGGGTAGATTGTTCTAGTTCCACATGCCATGCCTTTTTAGATATTTCGGTTTTCAGTCAATTCCCTTTAGTAACTCAACTCGTTATGTTTTTGTTTTTTGGGTTTTTTTTTTTTTTTTTTTTTTTTTTGTATTGAACTCACAACTCTTTGGGTCAAGTCACTTTTGGGTTACTTTAACTGACTGAGTCATGTGTCCTTGGGGGCCATCACTGAGTAAATATTTAGGTGTTATAAACCTAATGTCTCAGTATCATTTTATACCAGAGCTCATATTACAATTTTTGCTGTTGTCTTTGTATAGCTCTTTGTATTACTGGTTCCCATATTAAATAATTTTAGAATGGCTATTCTAGTATTATAAGTAATGTTGTTGGTTGTTTTGACTTAAAATGGCTAGCTTCTTAAATATGTAATTTTTGCTTACAATTGGTTTTGTTGAATATTATGTTTGTTTTTTTTCTTTTCTTTCTTTTTATAGTTAATGTCCAAGCTACAGTATTGTCTGGTTGGTGATGTTTTTACACTCTACGATTGTTATGTATACACATTTTTTTTTTTTTTTTTTTTTTTTTTTTTTGCCTGCCGTGTATTTCAAAGTTTAGCTTAGTCTGGTACAAGGCCAGGATGTATGGATTAAGTAACGGTAGGAAATTCAAAATCCGGCTGAGACAACTTGCGTTCACTTTGCAGTAATACTCTCGGAAAAGGCACAAATCGCCTCTATCCAGCTCTGGGTTATCAGGACACACTCGGCTGTCTCACTTTGACAACCTTTTTATGCGTCCAAGTTGAATCACATGCTGATTTTCATCGGCTACCAAAAAAAAAAAAAAAAAAATAGGGAAAACCTCTTAGGAGTTAGAAATTGGATGTTATGAATTTATTATTATTGACGAAAGATGTGTGCGTTGCTCTCTATGCACAGAAACCAAATGTGATTTTTAATTCTACATTTGCGGTACTCGCATCTCGATGTTGCTTAAGCTTTGCTGTCTATTCTATGTTATGTGTGTGGCTAAATTCACTCCAATACTAAACAACCCTAGTTTCTTCTCTGTGCCTCCTCCCATCAGCGCATAGGCGATAATGGCTTTCCACAAATTCCTATCCTTTATAGCTCATAGTAATATTTATCTTAACGAGTTCGATCCTTACTGAGTGCTCCATGCTTTTGGCCTTGTGCCACATTTAAGCTCTGCTTAGAAAAACGCCATAGTAAGATTTGTTTTTCGCCATCCATTTACAAAGTTAGGTAGGTTATTCAATGTTTCACTCTGTCCCTCTTGCCTTTTAGTATGTTTTGTGAGTGGCAAATTCTCTAAACCTTCTTTCCTCATTGTGTCCTAGAAATTTTAATTGTCTTATTCATTTTTGTTTCTATTGTCCTTAATTTCCTTGTTACATGTCCAGTCTATGGTATTCTCAGTATCCTCCTGTAGAATCTTCTCTATTTTCCTATAGTCACCCAAATCAGTCTGCAGTAGGTTTTTTTTCTCTCTCTTTAGATGTTTTTCTCTCCACAGCTTCCTTCTCCTTTTAAACATTGCGTTGCTATGATTTCAGTTGTCCTTTTCCTAGATAGGTTGCCAACCAAGCCCAGTTTGCTTTGTAGACGGATTGCGGCTCGGATTGAGGAATCGGAGAGCCGAGTTCGAATTCCAGCCGAGTTCATTACACTCACCTACGTGCTAATACACTTGGAAAAGCTACGAACACATCACCACACACACACACACACACACACACAGCAGCCGGTTTAGAAGGAAAATCTATGAATTCAAAAACCTCTACCTACGGATAAATGGTAACCAGAAGGACAACTTTGAATTCAACTTTGAGTTCGCCCTGGGTGAGACGATAAACTACCTCCAACAGCAAGGCCTCTGATCAGGAGGTTTTGAGGAGCGTGGAACCACCTCTTAATTGATGGTGTTCCCAGGTCCACTCTGACCCGGTGTGGTAGCACCTGTTAGGGTCCAAGCTATGGGCAATAATTAACACCCAAACTTGTGTAAAAATAGGTTTTAATACCAGAAATACTTTGTAATATATAAAAAAATTATTACTAGGAATAATTTTTAAAGGAAAAAATTATTATCAGCAATACTTAAAAAAAAAAAAAAAAAAAAAAATACCAGCAATATAAACAGTTATACATTCTTTGAAAAAAATATGACCAGCTATAGATTTCTTCAAGGAAAAATATTCCTAGTAATAGATTTTAGAAGAAAAACATATTACCAGCAATAAAAATCTTGTCGTTATTAAATAACCCATTGAGGTTGATATGCCGTAAACCAAACCAAACCGGAACTGGAGTCTCTAAGACTTTCCGATGTCATGTTCAAATTCGTTCTGGCAACTCCTGCGACAACGCCGGTGCCTGGAAAAGGGAGACGTTCTGCAAACGTGCTGCCGATCTCTTATTTTTAATATAATAATAAAAAACGAAAAAAAAAACCTGCACAGACCTACGCCTCTTCGGGAGTAGCGGAATACAACCGCTAGTAGACCAACTGTTGTATTCTGGTATACTTGTATGTCTTTTAGTTTACCAACTGGTGTCTCTTATATCGTGGTCAGCCTATGAACTTTACAGAAAACCTTCGTATCTGAATTTATAATAGGCAAAATTGTTGACATTGAAAGCCTATATGTATGCAGTAGCATAAGATGAACTCAGCTGAAGCTAATATAAATTGTGTAATTACTTAAAACTATGCTGTTTTTCTTCAGGCATGTCCCTTCATGACGTTGGCGATAATGGTTCTCCACAATTTCTTGTAGCGCTTAATAAGTTTTTATTACTTCAAACGTTATCATAGTTTCTACTTCGTATTTGAAATAGACGTCCTATTTTTATTTATTAAACAGTGTGTATTACATCTGTCGCATTCGAGAAATCTTGAAAATGTGTTCTCCGGCAAAGATCGAACTTACGTCTTCCCTTTTGTAGGGGTAACCAATAATAAAAATGTCTGTTTAAAAATAAATCCATTAATTCTTTAGAAAGGTGTATTATAAACAGGTTGTATCGATATCGACCCCCTGACGTTTGATTAATGCCTGAAAGGGAGGGGTCGATAAATAAATCATGTTGACTTACAACTAAACCTCACTAATTTTCAACGACATATCAAGTACGCCTTTCTCCTTAATGATGTCAGCCAAATCAATCGAAAGGTATATTAGTTAGTTTGTTTTATTACCTGTATTATTTATTGAGTTTATTATTCTAACAAACTTGTCAAGAATAAGAGAAACAGAAATTGAAAAGGAAATAACAAATGCATAAAACCAAAATGAAACTTATCAAGAAACAATATTGAAGAATGGGCAAAGGAGTTTCTACCCTTGAATAAAACACTTCCGTCCCATTATTGATAACAACCAATTCAATAAAAAGATAAATTAATATAGTTTAATGCATTTATTAATATTTGTATTATTTACGAAATTTATTCTCATGAAATGAAATAAATTTAAAAATGGACTAACAAAGATATAAAGCTAGAATGAATTTGATTGAAAAACAATAATAAAAATAATGGACTGAATGGATAGATTATTTAAACATGGGGTCCCCAACATGATCGATATCGACCTTTAGCATTCAATGGAACTATTCAGATGGTTGATAAATTAATCATGTGTACTTATGACTAGACCTCACCAATTTCAAACTAAATATCAATGACCTTGCTCATCAATCATGTTTTTCCCCTTAATGATGTCAACCAATTCAATAAAAAGGTATATTAATTTATTTTTAATATGTTTATCATTACCTTTATGGAGTTTATTTTCATGAGGTGAAATAAAAACTGAAAATGGAATAATGAAAATAAAATTAAATCTTATTGAGAAAACAATGATAAAATAAAGGGCAGAGGAATTTCTACATTTAAATAAAAAGTAATTATTATTGATATATTTTTTTGTACATTTTTAATGTCTTTTTTTTTTATTACCAGTATTATTTATGAAGTTTGTAATTATTTGAACAAACTTGTCAAAAATAGGAAGAGAAACAGAAATTGAAAAGGAAATAACAAAAACATAAAGCCAAAATGAAACTTATCAAGAAACAATATTGAAGAATGGGCAAAGGAGTTTCTACCCTTAAATAAAAGAATAAAACACTTAGGTTACAGTAATAGGATAACGTCAAATAATAATTAAATAAAAATACAGATGCACATTTTATCAAATAAACCTTTTTTTTTTTTTTTTCATTTTTTATTTTGTCATTACTGACAGAATGGAGAGATATTATTTAAACCTGGGGTCCCCAAAGACTATTCAGATGGTTGATAAATAAATCGTGTATACTTATGACTAGACCACACCAATTTCCAAACAAATATCAATGACCTTGCTCATCAAACGTTCTTTCCCCATAATGATGTCAACCAATTCAATGAAAAGGTATATTAATTTATTTTTAATGTTTATTATTACTTGTATTATTTATTAAGTGTATTATTTGAACAAACTTGTCAAGTATAAGAAAAAACTGAAATTGAAAAGGGTGGGGGTAACAAAAGCGTAAAACCAAAATTTAAATTTATCGAGAAGCTATAATGACAAAGATAAAGGAAATTCTACCCTTCAATAAAAGGATAAAAAATAACTATTGATAAATGCCTAGCAGGGTCGATAAATAAATCATGTTGACTTAACTAAATCTCACCAATTTGCAGTATAAACCTTAGCTTTGCTCTGAATGTTGACGAAACACAAATGGGTTTGGGCAAACAAACATGCCGGAGACTATTAGCTAAGCTGAAGATGATAAATCACACTAATTTACAGTGTACCTTAAGTCGAAACATCTTCAAGAAATCTGCCGAGTCTTCTTTTTTTTTTTTTTTTTTTTTTTTTTTATATGTGCCATGTACCTTCAGAGCGTAGGCAATGATAACCTTCCGCAACTCCTTGTCACTTGTAGCTCTTAATAAACCTTGTCCTTCTGCTATTTCTCTAAAGACCTGTTCCAACATCCACTGAATCAAGATCATGTCATGCGTTGTCTTCCTCTGTCGCTCTTGCCCTCTATCAGCCCCGTGAGTATCAGATTTTCCAAGCCCTCCTTCCTCATATGCCCTATAAATTTCAACTGTCTCTTCCTGACTTTAAGTATTACTTTCCTTTTTGTTTAAATTTTCTCCAAAACTTACATGTTCGGTCCACTGTATCCTTAGCACCCCTCTGTAGAACCACATTTCTGTTGCTTCAAGTTTTCTCTTCATCTTTGAGGAGATCGTCCAGCACTCCTGCCATACAGGAGGACAGATAATCAGTTTAGTACTATTTTCCTTGTTTCTAGCAAAATTTTCCTATTTCCCAATACTCTGCTTAGCTTTGAGAATGCTTTCTTGGCTATCTTAATACGCCTTCGAATCTGTGTTGCTCTTTCCGTAAAAATGCAAAAGAAAAAAAAAACTTATAAGAGGTGTTTTACAATCGTGTGAATTTATAGCAACATTACATTTGTGATAGATTTATCGAAGAAATAGCATTTGTCAAATTAACTTGGATCCTGCTTTTTAAATGCTTTTCTTTGCAATGAGAATCGTTTAGACTTTGATGTAATATTCAGTAATGAGAAAACTACAATTAACGTTTCTGCAGACTGTACTGTTTTCATTTTTTTTTCTTTCAGGGCGAGCTTTCAGGCGAAGCTTTTATACAAATGAACTCCGAAGAGTCCGCACATTTGACAGCGCTTAACAAACACAAAAAGCATATGATCTTTGCTAACAAGAAACGAATTATCGATGTTATTCAATGTTCTGGAGAGGACATGAGCCTCGTTCTCGCTAGCGGTGTACCAGCAATTATTCCACCTCACACACCTATTCTTCCACGGCAGATGATAGCTCCACGTAAGTCTGACACGTACTTGTTTTTCTGGTTTTTTTTTTTTTTTTTGGGGGGTCTCCTTATTTTTCCTGTTGTGGGGGTAAGGGTTCTTTTTTTCTCGTGTTTTTTTTTTCTTCTTCCCTCTTCTTCCCCCACTTTTTCTTCTTCCCCTTTTTTTTCTTCTTCCCCCTTTTTTCTTCTCCCCCTTTTTTTCTTCTTCCCCCTTTTTTTTTTCTTCTTCTTCCCCTTTATTTTTCTTCTTCTTCTTCCCTCTTTTTATTTTTCTTCTTCTTCTTCCCTCTTTTTCTTCTTCTTCTTCTTCCTCTTTTCTTCTTCTTCTTCTTCCCTTTTCTTCTTCTTTCCCTCTTTATTTTTCTTCTTCTTCTTCCCTCTTTATTTTTTCTTCTTCTTCTTCTTTATTTTTTTTCTTCTTCTTCCCTCTTTATTTTCTTCTTCTTCTTCCCTCTTTATTTTTTCTTCTTCTTCCCTCTTTTTTTCTTCTTCTTTTTCTTTTTTTTCTTCTTCTTCTTCCTCTTTTTTTTTTCTTCTTCTTCCCTCTTTATTTTTCTTCTTCTTCTTCCCTCTTTATTTTTTCTTCTTCTTCCCTCTTTATTTTTTCTTCTTCTTCTTCCTCCTTTTTTTTCTTCTTCTTCTTCTTCTTTATTTTTTTTCTTCTTCTTCCCTCTTTATTTTTCTTTCTTCTTATTTTTCTCTTTTCTTTATTTTCTTCTTCTTCTTCCCTCTTTATTTTTTTTCTTCTTCTTCCCTCTTTATTTTTTCTTCTTCTTCTTCCTCTTTATTTTTCTTCTTATTTTTATTTTTCTTCTTCTTCCCTCTTTATTTTTTCTTCTTCTTCTTCCCTCTTTATTTTTCTTCTTCTTCTTCCTCTTTATTTTTTTTTTCTTCTTCCTCTTTATTTTTTCTTCTTCTTCCCTTTATTTTTCTTCTTCTTCTTCCCTCTTTATTTTTTTTCTTCTTCTTCCTCTTTATTTTTTTCTTTCTTCTTCTTCTTTATTTTCTTTTCTTCTTTCTTCCTCTTTCTTTTTTCTCTTTATTTCTTCTTCTTCCTCTTTATTTTTTTTCTTCTTCTTCCCTCTTTTTTTTCTTCTTCTTCTTCCTCTTTATTTTTCTTCTTCTTCTTCCTCTTTTTTTTTCTTCTTCTTCTTCCCTCTTTATTTTTTCTTCTTTCTTTATTTTTCTTTTTCTTCTTTTCTTCCTCTCTTTATTTTCTTCTTCTTCTTCCCTCTTTATTTTTCTTCTTCTTCTTTCTTTATTTTTCTTCTTCTTCCTCTTTATTTTTTCTTCTTCTTCTTCCCTCTTTATTTTTCTTCTTCTTCTTCCTCTTTTTTTTTCTTCTTCTTCTTCCCTTTATTTTTCTTCTTCTTCTTCCTCTTTTTTTTCTTCTTCTTCTTCCTCTTTATTTTCTTTCTTCTCTTTATTTTTCTTCTTCTTCTTCCTTTATTTTTCTTTCTTCTTCTTCCTCTTTATTTTTCTTCTTCTTCTTCCTTTTTTTTTTCTTCTTCTTCTTCCCTCTTTATTTTTTCTTTTCTTCTTCCTCTTTATTTTTCTTCTTCTTCTTCCCTTTTTATTTTTCTTCTTCTTCTTCCCTTTTTTTTTTCTTCTTCTTCTTTCTTTTTTTTTCTTCTTCTTCTTCCCTCTTTATTTTTCTTCTTCTTCTTCCCTCTTTATTTTTCTTCTTCTTCTTCCCTCTTTATTTTTCTTCTTCTTCTTCCCTCTTTATTTTTCTTCTTCTTCTTCCCTCTTTATTTTTCTTCTTCTTCTTCCCTCTTTATTTTTCTCTTCTTCTTCTTCTCTTTATTTTTCTCCTTCTTCTTCTTCCCTCTTTCTTCTCCTTCTTCTTCCCTTTATTTTTTCCTTCTTCTTCTTCCCTCTTTATTTTTTTCTTCTTCTTCTTTTCTTTATTTTTCTTCCTCTTTATTTTTTTCTTTTTTCTTCCTCTTTTTTTCTTCTTCCTTTCTTTATTTTTCTTCTTCTTCCTCTTTATTTTTTCTTCTTCTTCCTCTTTATTTTTCTTCTTCTTCCTCTTTATTTTCTTCTTCTTTCTTTTTTCTTCTTCTTCTTCCTTTTTTTTTTTCTTCTTTTTTTTTTTCTTCTTCTTCTTCTTTCTTTTTTTTCTTCTTCTTCTTTCTTTTTTTTTTTCTTCTTCTTTTTTTTCTTCTTCTTCTTCTTTTTTTTTTTTTTCTTCTTTCTTCTTTTTTTTTTCTTCTTCTTCTTCTTCCTCTTTTTTTCTTCTTCTTTTCTTCTCTTTTTTTTTTTCTTCTTCTTCTTCTTTTTTTTTTTTCCTTTTTCTTCTTCTTCCTTTTTTTTTTTTCTTCTTCTTCTTTTTTTTTTTTTCTTCTTCTTCTTCCTTTTTTTTTTCTTCTTCTTCTTCTTTTTTTTTTTCTTCTTCTTCTTCTTCCCTCTTTTTTATTTTTCTTCTTCTTCTTCCCTCTTTATTTTTTGTTTTTGTTTTGTTTTTTTTCTCTTGTTTTTTGTTTTTGTTTTTCCATTGAAAATTTCCTACAATAATTCTGCTTGTCCATCCTCCTCCTCTTCGTTAGATAATTCGCATGACCGTTAAGGGTCGATAAATTAATCTCGTTGACTTACAACTAAACTTCAATTTCCAACGACATATCAAGCACGCCTTTCCCTTAATGATGTCAACCGAATCAATCGAAAGCAATGCCAATTAAGTTCTAATGTTTATTACCTGTATTATTTTTTCAGTTTATTATTCTAACAAACTTGCCAAATATAGGAAAGGATATAGAAATTGAAAAAGGGGATAACCAAAGCGTAAAGTGAAAGTGAAACTTATCGAGGAACAATAATGACGACATCAAAGGAAATTCTACCTTTTAAATAATAGAATGAAAACCCTAACCCATCCATGGACTATTCCATTTTTGACCGCGTGAAATGACGGAAATAACGTATCAGAGAGAAAATGAAAGAAAGGAAGGATAGTGTTTAACTTCTCTTGCCAATACCTCATGAATAATGGACTGTTCCATTTTCATTGCGAGGAAAGACATGTCAAAGAGGCTACTTGGTTTCAGAAAGAAATGGAAGTGTTTAAATTTTGTTTCAGTGAAATGGGAAAAGTTCAGTTACAAATCATTTCATGGTTGTTATTGCAATATTTTGTTAAAGTTAAGCTCTAATATTTAATACGATAAGGGGACTTCTACGAATATTTTATTGTCGTAGAACCATGAGGTTATTCAATTATTACCGTATTTGACGGCATATAAGACACGGATGTATAAGACGCACCCCGATTTCAGCAGGGCAAATCAAGAAAAAAAATTAGCAATTAGTGTATTTAGTAAACCTACGCATGACATATAAGACTCAAATGGCATATATTTTTAGTAAAAAAAAAAAAGTGCGCCTTATATGTCGTCAAATCCGTTTCGCATTGCCATTACTATTGTATTACTGGTCTTGCTGTCAAAAAATCTAGAGGATACAACTACGAAAGAATATAATTGTAATCTTCTAAATAAATTCAAATTCTGTCTGTCAGTCCCTGTGTCTGAAACCCTTCTAACTCTGGCCACACTTGCTCTACACACATATTATACCTTTTTGTAATTAGGATGATCCCAAGATTGAAAATTTGCTCTTTATCTGGTGCTTGAAATGTGTCGTGATGAGCGAACGGTTAAAAATTCGAATTTTTAAAATAACTGGATACAAATTTAGTTTATATTGAATTTACAAAAACTTTGAATTAAAAAAAAAATGTTTTACATTCAGTTTAAAATATGTCCAAAACTTTTAATTGAAGAAATCAATTTTATTTCTTCAAAATGCCAAGGAATCATAGTTAGAG